ATAGGATAAAGATATCAAGCTTATCTCCTAAAAGAAGGGAAAGGGTCGCCTCAACAGACCACAAAAGTGTATTGAGCTATACCTTTAAGAATTCCTTTGTATTAAAAGAATGTATCTCACACAAATCCTTTTCAGAGAGCTAGATGGGGCATACAAAAGCAAAAGGCTTATGTAAAATAGGAGAATGAAAAAGATATAAATGTTTCATTTCTAACATAGGTGAAAAAGGAGAGGGCACATAATATTTCTGCCTTTTGTCCTAAATTAACCTTGCCATTACTTAATTTTGGCTTTTGAGGCAACCTCCTTATTAGGTGGCATTACTCAGAGAAATAAAGATGTAGATAAAGATATAGTTAAAGATATAAATAACGATATTGTATAAAGATATAAGGTATTTTAGCACATTAAAGCAAATATTTTTGTGTAAATCATATTAATGAGTATCACAATAGTATAAAGGATTACTTTGTATGACATCATCATCTTGTGGGGTATAGAAGCTCTGTAAAGAAACGCTATCCAAGGTTCCATATAATCTCATAATCTTTTTTTATTATTTAGGAAGAATTTTGATTACAAATGAATAAACAAACACTGTGTTTAGTGTGAGTAGTTCAAATGCTTGTGATCTATGTATCAAGATTGACACCCCTCTTGCTTTGGAAGTGTGGGCTGCGTGGTATTGAGTGGGGTAGTCCTTGGTGCCAAAGGAGGGAATTCTGGATTTGACAAAGTGTGTCTCTTGTATGCACAGAATGTCAGCCTGGATCTGTTTTGCGTCTCTCAGTAACATCCTAGTAACATCCTACGTTTGTGAGGAGTATTCATTCCCCTCACATTATGCGAGTGTATAATCAGCATTTAAGGATGTAAGGTTAGGTCTGCAGTCTCTCTGTTCGGTCGTAGCGCTAAAGCAGGTTTGGGTGTGAGTCCTATTCCATGGCACTCTTGTTCTGTGGGCCTGGGTGGTAACGTGACGTTTAGCATTAGCGTTAATCTGTTTTGGATTTGGTCCGGTTATTACATCTTGTACCAGACATGGGCTTGGGGTAGTGCGGTTCCATTTGGTACAGTTCTTTTTAAAGCCAGGGGTAGGGATCCAGAGGGGGTGTGAACAGGAGTTGTGAGGTAACTAGGGGTTGTAGGGCTATATACATATAATTCCCCTGGTGGGACGCAGTGTCATCCATGTGCACTGCGGGGGTAGGAAACATTTGTTCCCTATGGGTGGCTTGTGAGCTATTTTACACCTTTGGTGGGTGTACAGAAACGAAAGAAAAAAAACATTTTTCTTATTTTTTTCCAGGTTTTAAAGGGTGGGTTGTTGTGCTTTATATAATATTTATCACCTTGCCTTTCCTTCTCAGATAGACACTTAAACTTGGTAATAGTGGGGTTTTCCTTGCCTTGGGTCAACGTGCTCCCAGCAGTCTCTCTTTTACAATTCCTTCTATGTGCTAAAGTCCCATAAAAACTGGTCTGTGCCTGTTGTGTGCGGCTTTCGTTAGCCAGTGATGATGGTGGTCCCCCGGGTCCCGCTTTGTCCACTTTCTCTGTCTCCCTCTGTGTACCCCAATTTGTTTCCTTCTCTCCCCAATCATTATTCAGAGGGTGTAGAAACCCCTTGTGTGCTGGATGGCGACGATAAGGGTTCCGTGTTCATGGGAGGGATGTCCATCCTATTCCCTGTGGCGTTACCTCAGGTCTACTCTGGGACCCCAGGTGTAATGGGTGCAAGGGGTAATGTGTCTGCTTTTGGTGTGGCACAAATCATATCCCCTCTATAACATGACAAATAGTTACATGAATGTAGTAAAATTGAAGCATAAATACCATGGCTCCAAGTAACTCAGCAGTCATTACCATTATCCTCCCCAGGGATTTAGCTGTGGTTCTTCTCTGGTTACTGGTTTTAAGTGTGGCCTGGTGGCCTGCCTGGGGGGCTAAAAGTCCGCTATGGAGATAGGCATGTCGCCCCTTTCTCATCCCGCTTTTGGTTGTGTTATCCCTATATCTCGCGTTGGATTCACTGGAATAGGCTCCAGTTTCCTTCTCCCATTTAGTGACAGTGATTGCTTTGTCTTAACCCTTTCTTGCAGGACTGTGTTGGGAGTTGGGCAGGCGGCGTTAGTTTCCCCTTGTGACACCCGGGACCATGAGTTTGCCTGGCTTCCCTGGTACAGGTGGGTAGCGGAGAATTACTGGCGGGCTTTGCTTTTTTCCCGTTTTGCTTATGGGTTGTGGTGGTCGCATCATAGGGAGTAGTATGGGCACTCGGGGGAATATGTACATTTTCTATCTACTGACATTGACATTTCAGCATATGCATTAGTACATTGGCTTCCTAGAGCCCATTTCAGAACAAAAATTATTAGGGTGAACCTGCAACATTAAAGCTTAAGAGATACTTGCTGTGCTGAGAGTTCGTGCGCCCAAGAGGCAATTCAGGGCGATTAGCGTCTATGAGGTGTTTTGTGCCAGTCCAGTAGCAGTCTCTTAGGTTGGGTGGCTGCTTGTTCATCAGGTAAATTTTCAAGTCCCCACCATCTCATCTGGCTGAGGCCGTCTTCAGGGGAGGTGATGGAGATCATTTTCCCTTCTCTGTTGATCAGCATTTTGACTGGAAATCCCCAGCAGTACCGTATGCCATTGGATCTAAGAGTCTGAGCGATCAGAGCAAAGTCTCTTCTTCTGCGCAGTGTAGCTGAGGAGAGATCCGTGAATAGCTTCACCATCGGGTATTCTTCAGGTGGTTTCACCTTGTTCCTGCTTGCTCTGAGGATGTGCTCCTTAATATGGTAGTAGTGAGCACGCAGAAGGACATCCTTGGGGGCCGTGTCAGGTAGGTGTCTGGGCCATGGGACTCTGTGCATTCGGTCCACCAGGAGCATGTCAGTAGGGATTTCGGGTGCAAATGCGTGGAGGAGGCTGATAGTGTGAGCTGGTAGTCTAAGCAAATGCGTGGAGGAGGCTGGTAGTGTAAGTTGGTAGTTCTGTCGGCAAGACACTTTCAGGCAATCCTCTGACGTGGATGTTATTGCGTCTCGCCCAGTCTTCCAGGTCGGCTAGCTTCGTTTCAGTGCACTCCAGTGGCCTCCAGGTCTTCCACGTGGCTTGCCAAATCATTATGAGCAGAGGTAAATTCCTCCATTTTGTTTTCAGTATATGCTGTGCATTGGCCTAATTCTTTCACGTCTTTATGAAGGGAATCCATGGATGCCTGCATTTTGGTCCCCTCCTTGTTGCAGGGTGTCTGTTCCCTCCATGCTGTCACCATCTTTATTTGAGGCCTGTTGGTCTGCTTGGTCAGGCGCCATTTTTGTGTGTGAAAAAAATGATTTTTTTCCTGCCTTAGTATTCGTCTTCTTGTTCTTAGGTTGAGACATCGTCGATTTGAGGCTTTTATTTACAGCTTGTACACTTGGATGGTGCTGGATTCAAAGCTCTTGAGCCGGGCTGTGGTTTATGCTTCCACCATGCTTGGCAGCTAGCCATGACCCCCCCTCCCCCCCGGTTCTGTTTTGGCATGTCTGTGGGCCGTGGGCTCAGTCGCTGAGTACACTAGTAAGTTCCGTTGCCGTTCCTCCTCAATTGTAGGAAGTATTGCGGGCTTAGTATAAGTGTTGGTACACAGCTGTAGCTATGTTCCTGTGTATGGAAAAAAAAGGGAGGAAACCGCGCCTTATATGAATTATATATACATACACTTGATGTCTCTTAGTAGTTGCAGATAATTTGTCCTCAAAAAGAAAACAGAGAAAATATATACAATAGTGTAGTATGTTTAACAATATTAGAGAAAAGTGATAAATAAAACGGAGGTATTTTACACTCACATTTGGTAGAGCTGCTGTGGGAGCTCTACCGTGATAGGTGTGGACAGTACAATCCCCGTCTTAGGATAAGAGGTCCAACGTCTTAAGTACTCCAATGGTACTATGGTACAGATAAAAAGAAAAACAGGATAAATAAATAATAGAAATAAAAATAAATAAAAAATTGATTAAAAATTAAAATAGAATTTTAAGAACTTTCTATTTTAATTTTTAATCAATTTTTTATTTATTTTTAATTTTCTATTTTTGCTGCTTATATATATGTTTTTAATGGATACCTTTTGTGTAATGCAGGATGCCTGATTTGTTTGATATAAGAATTTTCTTTATTATCCCTTTATTGCAATGATGAGTGACTGTTCTGTTGTTTATACATATGTTGCACTTGAATATTATTATTGAATTATTATTCTGTTGTTTATACATATGTTGCACTTTAATATTATGAATTTGCCCCCTCTCGAGCCACTTATTGTGGCCGCGGCTGTTATGCGTTCCACAGTGGAACGCATACCTATACTTCACCCATGTGGACGCCGCGTCACTTCCGGCGTGACGCGTGCGTTTCGCGGTGGATAGGGTTACACACGCGAACGCCGCGCCGCTTCCGGTTTGGACGCGTGCGTTCCACGCTGGTTATCTATACCCACGTGGACGCCGCACCACTTCCGGTTTTTGCCTACTAGCGTTCTTCTGACTGGGGCACACCAGGAAGCCATTACCAATTATGTTTAATATGTAAGTCATATATTTAAAGGAAGTTTTTTGATGCATGTTTTTTCACACTTCTGATGAAGCCATTGGCGAAACGCGTTAAGTGATATTTTATATAGCGTTTTATTTTATTCTATTTGTATTACCATTAAATATATTTTTAAAGCTATACTCTATTTTCATTATATTTATTTGTACCATCAAACTTCCTGGCCTGTATATCCTACAGTGGGGATTATACCACTGCAAGCCTTATATACTAGAGCAAGTTTTCTGCTCTAGTAAATGTGAGTATAAATACTTATATTTATTTATACTTGAAATTGGAATTACTACACTATTGGAGATAACCAAGGCAGGTACCTAAAAATGACCTGCAAGATTAATGATACTATATACAAGATAGCAAACATATACAGCCCAAATGTAAACCAAAGGCAGAGCTCCATGGAAGCTCAACGACTCTTACTAACTGACGAACACTTCAAACTGAAACTGGACAAAGACCTACAGGAGTACTTTAAAACCACTGACACCCTAGACAGCACAGCACTGACACAATGGCTGGCCCACAAGTCAGTAATCATTAGCCGAGTGGCACACATCAAAAAAGCATCAGAAACCAAGCTCTTGACACTACTGAGACAATTACGAGACGCTACCACCCAACAATTCCTATCTCCATTGCCAGCCCTGCAGTCTGTCATTGACCAGACACAAACACTGATTAACGAATGGCACCTCAACAAAACCACTTACATGATGCAGAAACTCAAGACATGAGAATATGCCCAGAGTAATAAAGCAGGGAAACTACTTGCATCACACCTCAGACAGCAGAGACAATCATCGAAAATCCCATTTCTTACACACCCGGATGGCACAAAAATATACAATCCCCAACACATAGCAGATGAACTGGCAACATATTATGCGGGACTCTACAACCTCAAACAAGACAACAACATTCACCAACCGACAAAAACAGACATAAATAATTTCCTGGCCCAAGTCCACCTGTAACGGATCGCCTGGCACCCCGACTGGGTACCTCCGTTGAAGGATGCTCCTAGCGCTTCCTGAGGACTCCAAGCACTGCAGCAGACACCAAAACCACTGAACCGTAGGAGCATATGAATGCTCTCAAGCATATGAATGCTGTAGACAGTTGAATAGGAACCATACGAATAGGTTTACTCTCCTAGCAGTCAAACTGGAACAGCATACAATAAATCCTTCCCCCAATAATGAGGCGACACTTCACTTTGAGGGTTAAGCAGGAACTCCCTGTACTGTCACATACAGTCTCTTTTATTCCCAATCCACAAACATAGTACAGCCCACAGGGCGTTACAAAACAACCAATCAATCCGTACAATACACCCAGACACTCCCACACAAAAACCTCCCCTCTGCAGGTGATATGATTACTGAACACAATGGGTAATCTCATTATCACCGGCAGAGGAATACAGTTTTTACACAATATTTCTAACTTCTAAAATATACATGTCACAAACATAAAACATACATTTTCATAATCAATCCATTCAGATAACAACATATTAAAAAATGGCACGAATCAGACCAGGAGTTCAAAAGTTAAGGGAAAGTCCTTTGTGACTAAATGAAGCATGGCTTTCTGGCCCAAACCAGTTTCAGAGTCTTCTATCCTGGAGATAAGTAATTCAATTATCTCCCAGGACAGACACAAGACTCCATTAAGCACATGGTTGCAAAAGACACAAAACACTTTAAAATACATAAAGTCACATTTACACATAACACACAGACATTTCACATATCCCCAGATAGCTGGGATCTGAGTGCACATTATTAGATGAATGGCACTCAGATCACACAAATAAGCCTTTCTGCAGGGGAAATAAACGGTTTAACCTGCAGGGCCATAGTCCAAAGGGAGCAGGCGAGCAACCAGGCTTCTCCAGTTCACAGTGGCGAGGTTGGTTTTGCCACACCACCTACCAACCATTTCCCCAGAACAACAGCAAACACTACAAAACCCCATTACGATAGACGAAATTACCTCCACTATTAAAGCACTGCCCACCGGGAAATCACCGGGACCAGATGGGTTCTCAAATCAATACTACAATATATACCACAACACGCTAGGGCCTCCCCTGCTTAGAGCCTACCAGACTATGCTACATACAGGTTCTATGCCAAAGGAGATGCTGATGGCACATACAATGGCATTACCAAAACCATGCAAACCCCCTAATAAAGGACAGAACCTTAGACCCATATCGCTACTGAACACGGCTATAAAGTTATTTGCGACAATTTTTGCCAACAGGCTAGCAAACATAATCCCAACCATTGTACATGATGATCAAGTAGGATTTGTGAAAGGCCGACAGGGGGTGGACGGGACCAGGAAAGTGCTGGACCTAATGCACTGCCTCAAGGAAATATTTATGTATATTTAAAATATAACTTTTAATAGTAAATTTATAAAAAGATAATGAGAAAAAATGAAAAAAGAAAACAAATAAATTGATATTAAAGAAACCTCAATTTCCAACAGGGGAAATGTAAGATAAGTGAAATAATAGTGAAAGTTAAAAATAGACAGATAGATAATCGTAATTAATAGAAGAAAGTCCAAATTGGTGTTAGGTAAGTTGTAACTTTTTAGCCATCATTGGACACTTCACAGATAATAACTGCTAGACACAAATTAATGTTGCAAAGTGCTATAATCTGTCAGCTGTTATATCTAAATGACTCACTAGGTCTAAACCTTAATCTGTCTAATGTGAACAGACATGTATTCCCATTCTAAGAGATATAGAGTAAGACAGGTCCATCTAAAAAGGATTCTTGTTCAGTCTAACTGTTAGAGGTAGGACAGGTGGAAACAATGTATATACATATAAGTCACTATGGATAGTTACTATGAACATGGATCTCTACAAAGAAATATTATCGCCCAATACATGGTCAGAGGGCTAGATTTAGACAATAGGATTATGATATATATAGAGAAACTATGTAACATAAACTAGTACCTCTAATCAGAAAGTTAGACTAGCTAGCTACCACATGTCCTGATAAATGAAATTAGAACATGTAAATTATAACCAGAAAAATCTTTTGTCCGACAGAATTTACCAAGGACTTAAACTAAGATCGTTAGATATATGTGTAACACCATCTAACGAAAAAATCTCACTGTGCCTTCGAGGGCACCTATCTCAAAAAAACGCTAAGCTAGCTAACTGTCACAAATAAGTAGAGACTGAATATGAATTGAAACACCCTGATAAGCGTGGTGAGAAATATAAACTTCAACGCCCTGATGTGCGAGAAGAAAAAAGTCTTGACCGAATCCCAGCCTAGCACTATAAAGATCACAAGTTGATTTAAAGTTTTGTTAGATAAATCCCGCCAAAGTAACAAAATCTATGTATATAAGACTAGGACTGAGATGACATAAACTCGGAATCTCCCAAACCCCGACGCGCGTTTCGCCGGTAAGGCGGCTTTTCAAGGGGAGCTGTAGAGCTGTCGGCTTAAGTTTAAATAAGGCGCTCTATTCACTGATTGGTGGTTCAAAAATGACGTCATGAGATGATCGCTGACTATGTATGGTAGTCAGCTTGGGACAAAAAAGCTCTCATAATCTAATTACAGGATAACTTATTGTTTTATGTATAACAGAACAGATTATATTAAAAAAAAAAAAATTAAAGTATAATTAATCTGCAATGTTAAGAGAATAAACAAAGCAATATATCATGAATTTATCTGTGACATCTCATGCACATTTGTAAGAGATTATAATGATTATACAGTGGTATGTAACCAATATGTCTAAAACTACCATTAGTTAAATTATTATGTATATCATAGTAAGGTAGAGAGCTGGGATAATGGATAGAAAGAGCGCTTTGAATTAATGTAATATGAAGTATTCTTTGTAATGTAAACAATTACATATAATCTTAGATAATAAATTACTTTTATTTTTATTTATATTGTGTTTTTTTTTTTTTTTAAAAAAAGGTGTATGCATATGTTATTATCATAAAATTAATTTCTTGCTTAATGCTGACTCAAATGACTGAATATATGAAAACATTCCAAAAAGATAATATATGTCAATGTATAAAAGGGGTATAATTGAACTCCTCATTGAGCCCTTGTGGAGTCAAAGTCCTGAATGAGTATATCCACTTTGATTCTTTTTGAAGTAATTGTTGATTGAAATTACCCTTTCTAGGATTAGGTAGTAATTTCTCTATAGTTTGAAAACGAAGATTATCGACATTTCCCTGATGGAAATTCGTAATATGCCTCGCCACAGGTGTAGGGGTTGTGATGTTTTTAATAGAATTGATGTGTTGAAGAATTCTGCGGTAAGTCTTTCCAATGTACTGGATGCCACATTTACAAGTAATCGGGTATATCACTCGAGTGGTATTACAATTTACAAAGGCATTGGTTTTAATGGTAATGTGAGATTGTGTAGATGTAGTAATTTGAGAAGGAGTAATGAACTGACAAGCCTTGCAATGGCCACATCTGTATGTTCCTTTTGTATTGGTGAGCCAGTTTGATTTTGATGGGATGGGAGCCAGAAAACTATGAACTAAAAGGTCTTTGAGGTTCTTTGATCTCCGGGCCATAATTGTGGGATGATTTGGCAATGACTGTTTCAAAATGGGATTATGTAAGAGAATGGGCCAATGTGTAGAGAAAGTTTGTGTCATTTGGCTCCAACCACTATCAAAAGTGGCAATGCATCTCGGAGTCGATGCATTTGGTTTTGTACATGTAGATTTTAAGTTTACCAATCTGTCTGTTTCACTAGCACGTTGGTATGCTCTTTTTAAAACTTTGTTCGGGTATCCCAAGGCTTTAAAACGCAATTTAAGAGTCTGACATTCATGATAGTAAGCAGAGTCTTGAGAACAATTTCTCCTGGCTCTTAAATATTGGCTGTACGGGATTGAAGATTTTAATCTGTAAGGGTGATGACTCTCCCAATGGAGAAGGCTGTTAGTTGATGTGGATTTCCTGAAAAGAATAAGATCTAGGAAGACTAATTCTTTCTCATCAATAACATGAGTTAATGCCAAGTTAATTTGATTATTATTTAACGTTCTCACAAAATCTTCAAAGGCTTGTACAGGACCGGTCCATAGTAAGAGCATGTCATCGATGTATCTGTACCACTTCAATATGTATCTGTGGTACAGACTATATTTTGGATCTTTCCACATTTTCTCCTCCCACCAACCCAAAAACAGGTTCGAATATGTGGGAGCACAAGTTGTACCCATAGCAGTCCCGGTCTCCTATAGGTAATATTTGCCATTGAAAATAAGATAATTGTGAGTCAAAATAAACTCCAGAAGGGAAATGATAAATACAATTTGTGCTTCTTCATATGATGATGACTCTAAGAAAAAACGGCAGGCTTTCAAACCTGCTTTGTGTGGAATATTACTATACAGGGATACCACATCGAGACTTGCTAGTAAGGTGTAATGTGGCATCTGAAGTCCTTCAAGAATTAATAGAGTAGATTTGGTATCCTGTATATAAGATGGTAAATTGGTAACATACGGATGTAAAAGTTTATCAACAAATTTACTGGCTCTTTCTGTTAGGCAGTTATTACCAGAAATAATTGGTCTCCCACAAGGTACCTTCTTATTTTTGTGTATTTTGGGTAAACAGTACAGAGTAGCTATTGTAGGTTGTTTGTGTGGTAATAAATATTTAAACTCATCTGAGTTGATTATTTTTTG